TTCACCCGCCTCGGCCTCCCAAAGTGCTGGGATTACAGGCTTGAGCCACCGCACCCGGCTCAAACAAATTTTAAGAGTTCTGAAGCAGTCGTTAACATTTAAAAGTCAGGAGATTTCAAATACAAATACAGGTCTTTTATTCCCCAGGGAAACTGCCCATCTGGTGAACCTGTACTCTTCTGGGCAATAGTCATGCAAATAAAAATAAAGCCTAAGGTCGGGTGTAGTGGCCCAAGCCTGTAATTCTAGCACTTTGGGAAGCCAAGATGGGCAGATTGCTTGAGTCCAGGAGTTCTAGACCAGCCTGGGCAATACAGCGAAACCCCATCTCTACAGAAGTACAAAAATTAGTGCAGTGGTGTGCACTTGTGATCCCAGCCACTCGGGAGGCTGAGGTGGGAGGATTGCTTGAGCGTAGGGGGCAGATGTTGCAGTAAGCCAAGACTGCACCATTGCACTCCAGCCTGGGCAACAGAGCAAGACTCTGTCTCAAAAAATTAAAATAAAATAAAATAAAATAAAGCCTAGAAGAGCTCTTGGGAGCTGGTAGTAGAGGAACCCTCAAAGAAAATGTGGCCTCTGCGAAGGACCAAGTATCATAGTCATTTTTATGCAGACAATGCTTTGGAGACCTAGAAGGAAGAGGGGTTAACTCTGCTTGGAGGAATCCAGGAAAGCTTTCCAGAAGAGATGACTCTCAGCTGAGTGTTGAAGGATTAGTATGAAAGAAATGTCCAAGAAATAGAGGGGAATGAAAGGCTAGTTATAAGAAGGGGCAGGGTACAGGTAGAGAAATCCATGTAAGATAGAGAATGATGATACATTCTTGTGGAGCCAGAGTATAGGATACAGGAGAGGGAAGGGCCAATAAGCAAGCTGGAAATGAAGCCTAAGCAAAATGGTGAAACCCTGTCTCTACAAAATTAAATTAGCTGGGCATGGTGGCATATGCCAGTTGCCCAGCTACTTGGGAGGCTGAGCTGGGAGGATCACTTGAGCCTAAGGAGGTGGAAGCTGTACTCTAGCCTAGGCAACAGAGCCTGTTTTTTTTTTTTTTTTTTTTTTTTTTTTTTTTTTTTTTTTTTTTCAAAAAGGCAGTTGGCGGGGCGGTGCAGGCACTGTGGTTCACACCTATAATCCTAGCACTTTGGGAGGCCAAGGTGGGAGGATCACTTGAGCCCAGGAGTTCAAGACCAACCTGGGCAACATGGCAAAATGTTTCTACAAAAATCAGCCAGAAGGACGTTGTCCAGATGATGTTGCCAAAGCCTCACTCTGATGGCTGTGTGGGGAATGGGCTGGATACGGGGAAGGATAGAGGGCTGAAGGCCAACATCTTACCCTAAGGGAGGAAGCTTCCTTCCTTCTTTTCTTTCCTCTTTCCCCTTTCCCACTTTCTCCCTTTCTCTTTCTTTTTTTCTGAGACAGGGTCTCACGCTGTTACCTAGGCTAGAGTGCACTGGTGTGACCACATCTTACTTTACCTCCCAGGCTCAAGTGATCCTCCTGCCTCAGCCTCCCAAGTAGCTGGGACCACAGGTGTGCACCACCGTGCCTGGCTAATTTTTAATTTTGTTGTAGAGACAGAGTCTATGTTGCCTAGGCTGGTCTTGAACTCCTAGGCTCAAGCAATCCTCTTGCCTTGGCCTCTCAACAAATATGAACTACTTGCCCAGCCTTGGTTTTTCCCAGCCCCATATTTGGCAATCAGGGTAGCTCCCCAGCGGGCCATGAGAAGTGTCCTCAAAGCTGAGAGAGTAGACCTGGCCCAACCAGTTCTCTTGGCTTGGAGGACAGAAGCATGGGAATACATTCTTTGTTCTCTCTGCCCACCAGCAAATGTACCCTCCCCTTCCCAGTTCACATCAGGGGAAACTCCTGAGCTGGGAAAAATAAGTATACCATTAGTGCATTCGATCTAAGCAACCCTTTATATACTGCTTATAAAACTGTAAACTCCTTTTGGCTTATACAACTTCCCTCCCTCTAGGACTGAGCGTTGTTGGGCACATAGGAGGTACTCAGTGAACATTTATCAATCTAAAACAAGGACACTTTCACAGGACCTTGGTAGTTGTACATTCACTGCTGACCCAGAGAGACCCGGAGCACTGTGTTCTCTGACCACCACGACCACCACCACCACCACCACGACCACCACCACCACCACCACCACCACCACCACGACCACCACCACCACCACCACCACCAAAAATAGCCTGGGATTTGGTAAGAGGCCTTAGATTTCAGTCTTGGTTCAGCCACCCAAGAGCTCTGTGGCTGCAGACAAGCCATAGAACCTTGCTGAGACTTGGTTTGCTTATCAATTAAAAATAAAACAAAAAACAACCCCCAAACCAAAATGTTCTAAGGTACAAGGGTGCACCTGGAAGCACTGTGCAAACTTGTGAAGTGCTATACGACCAAAATGTGGTATATCTGTAAATGGAACATTATTCAGTCATAAAAAGGAATGAAGTACTGATACACGATACCATACGGATGGACCTTGAAAACACGATGCTAAGTGAAAGAAGCCAGACACAAAAGCCCCGTATTGTATGATTCCATTTCTACAAAATGTCTGGAATAGGCAAATCCATGGAGACAAAAAGCAGATTAGTGGTTTGTAGGGAGAAGAGACTGAACTTTGAGTGCTTAATGGGTATGTGGTCTCCTTTTGGAGTGATGAAAATGTTCTGTAGCTAGTGGTGATGGTTGTACATTATGATTGTGCTAAATGCCACTGAATTGTACATTTCAAAATGGTTAAAATGGTACCAAATTTCATGCGTGTGCATTTTACCACAATTCTAAAAAGTCAAAAAAGTTATATGAAGGTTAATCAGCTTGAGAAGTCATTGATTTTTGCATTCAACACGCAGCCTCCGATTCATTTTTTGGCACTGAGAGAACTTGCAAGGAGTAGCTGCATCTCCACTAAGAAGCCTCTTCTGAAGATAACTGGGATGGGGGTGGGAGAGAGAAGGAGCTCTGGCCCATTTGAAAAGTTTTCCTCCTGGATGGTATTTGTTTCGTAGATGCCAGTTGTTCACCCTGTTTGTATTTAAATGAAAGGAAGCTTTGAAGTGGGAGCCACCTCTGAGCAGGGCTTGGGGTTCCTGCCTCCCTAGGTAAAGTTCAGGCTTGTCCAGATCTGTTTGTAGCCAGAGGTTACTGTTTCTGGTAGAAAACGCTCAAGTTTGGGTTAATAATACACTAAGAGGAAGAGCAGGAGTAAACTTAGGGTGGGAGGGGGTGGCAAGGAATGAGTTCCTCCCAGCCTTGGTGTGAGAAGCACGTTTCTGATTTGACCTTCATGGTTTAGGAGTGTAATTTTCTCTCTTATGGTTAGTGGTTTCCATTTTATACTAATGTTGCTTCCATCTCATAGCCCATTCTCCTTGGTGAAGAACATCTTTAAGTAAATGCATCAATCAATGAAAATTTAAAGTGCTCAGCTAAGCCCTAGCAATGCCTTCACGACTTGATGGTTATCAGTTTAAGGAAAACTTGGATTATTTGAAAGTCCCTTGAAAATGACAGGAAATTCAACTGTAGTTGAGCTTGCACATTTAAAAAAAACCTGCCCTCCTAGTTTCAGAGTTAAATGCTCTGCCAGCCCACAGAAATTGGAAGTCCCAGTAGTAGACGGGTCACTATCTGTTTATGTTGATGGTCTGTAAGAGTTAACAAAACATAGAAGAGTTTGCAACTGGGCATTCAAAACAACAGCTCCTCATAGCCAGCCATGTCAACGTAGTTTACAAACAACAGTGGAGAAAGCTCAAGAAAGCCTCTGAGGGTGATAACTGTAATGATGGTTCGTATCCTTGCCCTATGTAATTTCATGGGAATTGAGAGTCTAGCCAAATAATAAGTTCTAGCCCTTTTTATCTGCTCAGTTCCCAGCACACTCCCGAGGTGTCTGAGGAACTTCTCACCCTAACCTCTTAAAGCAGATTGTAACAATAACAATGATAATGACAAGTTCTCCATCTGCACAGTTCCCTTCATTTAAGGAGCCCTGGGAGCTTCAAAAAAACACTCATTAATGGAACCTGACAAAGCTTGCAAGATGGGAAGACTCGCCCATTTCCAGTTTTCTGGTGGAAAAGTGGGGACTGAGTCTCAGAGGGGTGTCAGTCTCTCTCACGGGGCTTGGCGGGGGGTAGGGGATTTGGGGGTCCTTGGCTACCATTATTCCATGAAATTCGGGAGTCAAGAGTCCCGGGTGCTGGACACCCCCTTCCCGTGCGTGCAAGTCGCTTCCGTTTTCTGGGCCCCAGTTCCCCTACCTAATAGAAACAAGAGTTGAGCCAAATGGTCTCCAAGATCTCTGCGGTCAACCCTGACTTTGCCGCCTCACCTCGGCGTTGGGGATTTCTCCCGCTTCAGGGTTCGGTTCGATTTGTAGAACCGGGTGGGGGATGGGAGTGGCGTCGCGGGTTGTAGTGTAGCCGATGAGGGAAGAATGCTTGCCGGGGTCCTGGACAAATTAGCGTTTCATGAGTACTGTCCGATGGGAAGCAGGTTTGGGAAGACCAGGTGAGGCTCTAGGACGAGCTCGGAGACCCAAATCCCCCTACTGCCTGCAGCGAAACAATGCGACTAACGTGGGCGCCTTCCCCGCCCAGCCGCGGAGCTGCGCGGATAGGAACGTCCGCGGGTGCGGGATGGCGGCGGGGAGGCGGATATCGCCGCGGGAGGGCTCCGCGCGGCTTTTGCCCGCAAGCTGTGGGTCAGGTGGCGGCGCGCAAGAAGGCCTGCGGCTCAGACCTGGGCTTCGGGACAAGTCCCAGGCCGCCCGGTTCCCCGGGACCTGGGCCCTCCAGCCCGGAGCAGTTGGCGTTCCCTTTGCGGTTGGGGGGCGGTAGGCTGGCTCCCCGCCTCCGAGGAGGAGGGAAGGAAGGAGGAGCCGGGTGGGGCTTGTCGCGCGAAAGAGCGCCGGGCGCCCGGTGCGGCCCCCTAGGAAGTGGATTTGGCCGTTCCGGATCCAACCCCACTTCCAGGTTTTCTCCCGGCCCGGCCCAGCTTGCTCCCGCCTGTCTCCGGCCCCCCCGACGCCCGCCCCCTCCCCCCTCCCCCAGTGCCGCCCGCTTGGCCAAGTTTGCGAGCGTCGCCGCGCACGCCGGCCAGTCAATCAGCGGCAGAGCTGAGAAGGGCACAGCCGCGCGGCGGAGGGCAGAGGCAGCCGAGCTGAATCCAGCCGAACGAGCGGACCAGTGCAGGGCAGTCGGAGCAGCGCGCAGCGAGCGCCCGCCGCTGCCCACACCCTCCGCGGTCCCCGCGGCGCCTGCTACCTTCCCCTCCTTCCCTGCGTCTCCGCCTAGCCGGCCGGCCAGCTTACCGGGTTCGCTTCCCCGCGGAACCCCTAGGTCACCGGCCCGCGCCTCTGCTCCACTGGGCCGCGCGCCGCCTCCACGCCCTCCTTCTCCTCCTTCTCCTCTGGCCAGGCGCCTGGCACCGGGGACCGTTGCCTGACGCGAGGCCCAGCTTCACTTTTCGCTCCGCGTCTCCTCCGCCTGCTTGCCTCCTCCACAACTCCAACTCCTTCGCCCTCTAGCTCCACTCACTAGTCCCTGACTCCGCCAGCCTTTGGCCCGCTGCCGTAGCGACGTTTCCCGTCCCGTCCCAAAGGTGGGAGTGCGTCCACCCCGGTCCGCACCATGGCACGGTTCGGCTTGCCCGCGCTTCTCTGCACCCTGGCGGTGCTCAGCGCCGCGCTACTGGCTGCGGAGCTCAAGTCGAAAAGTTGCTCGGAAGTGCGACGTCTTTACGTGTCCAAAGGCTTCAACAAGAACGATGCCCCCCTGCACGAGATCAACGGTAGGTGGGCACCCTCAGGACGTGGGTGCAGAAACCAACACCTCGGGAAAGGGGACGCGACCCCTTTTCCCTGCCCCGCCGCCCCCTGCGCCGGACGCAGGTACACTAGAGAGAGAAATGGGCAGTGGAGAGAGCAGGAGCGAGCGAGCCGGCCGGCCGGCCGGCCGGCCAGCCAGCCAGCCGGCCAGCCAGCCCGCCAGCCAGCCCAGGCGCAGGACGTTCCCCGCGGGCGCGGCGCTCCCCCCTCCCCCAGCACTGCGAGTGGAGGGGCGACGCCAGGTTGCCCGGTGCCACTGTCGCGCTCCACTCCCACCCTCCGCTTCCCCTTTCCCCGCACTGTTCGCGGTCCCGGGATGCCCCTGATGACTCTGGCCCTCAAAATGCGTGTCACCGGCTCCCTCGTCTTTTCCGGGTTGAACTCCTTACAGGACGCCCCGCTTTGTTTTATGGGTGACGAGAGGCCGAGGGGGGTGGGGGTCGTCAGTGGGGTGTGGTAGATGGAAACCTCCCGGAGCTTGCCAGATTCTGGGGATCACAAAACGTGGAACTAGATGTTTCATTGATGTTCTTTTAAAACGCTCTCCCCGCCTCTCTTGCACCGCTGACACGGATTAGGAGTTTTAGTAGCTGCAACGGCTTTAGAAGTCGCCTTTAAAAAGCAAACGACTACCCTCACTCTCCACCCCTCGAAACCCTGACTTTTGGGAACTCTTACTTTCCAGGAGGTATCGGACCAGAAGGGTATTTTTCCCCCCTTTCTTTTTTCTTACCTCATTTTAAGGGTTAATTGCTCTTTCAATTACAGACCTTTGAAAGGACTGATTACAGGAAACCTGAATCTCAGTTTGGAGATGGTTATGCAAATAGAGACGGCTTAGCCTGTGAAAAAGTTCACCGGATTTTGGCGCCAGGGGGGTGTGATGGGGGTGTATAGGGGTATTTGTGAAAGCCCCTCTTAGAGCGCTGGGGAGGCAGCGTTCGGCGGGTGTCCTGAATCCCTCCCGGCAAGGACGCCGGCGGTGTTCCGCCGGGTCCCCTCCGAATCGCACTTATTTCTTCGCAGCGGCCAACTGTTGCGCGCAGCCCCGCCGGCCGCTCAGGTAGCCCGTTTGCCCTGGGGGTTCAGAAAGCACCACGAATCTAGCTGGCTGCTGGCCAGCGTAATTTAATGGAGGAGTGAGAGATTCGAGCCCGGGAGGCCGAGCCTCCACTCCGAACTTTTCATGGAAGTGAGTGGAGCACGCCTTTGCCTTGCGGTGCTGGTCGCCGGGTGGGGCGGGCAGGGGGCCGACAGCCAGCAAAGGAAATACTGTAATTTCAACCAGGCGCTTCCAAAGGCCTAGGAAGACTTGGGGGTCATTTTTTGGAAGGGCTATTAATAACCTTGGAGATTAAGTGCAGTCATCAATTTCATATAAATTACAAAGGTAATTGAGAGAGGTTGCTGGGCACTTTTCGAGTGTAACTGGCATGTGTATAGAAATAGAACCGAAGAAATAAATTGTTGGAGCAGCCCAGGTGCCCAGTGCACCTTGGCAGTTACCAAATAACGTGCTCGCTACTGATTAGACACTGTTTGCCCTTGAGCTGCCTGTCTTTTGGGGAGCTCAAGTATGTCCTCAAAGCGGCACGATTTTATTGGTTGTAGAGCCCTGAAAAGCCCTCTTTCTTTCCCTTCCTCCCTCCCCGCCAGAAAAAGTGAAGTGAACCAGCAGCCACTGAAGCTTGGGGGCTCTGCAGGTCAAACCTGGGGCCTTTGTGCCCTACACAGTTTGGGCCTGGGCACAGCGGAGATGATTGGCGTGAAGGTTACAGTTGTCATTCCCACATTTTGAAGGGGTAGATGCAGCTCTGCACTTAATGGGAATGTGACAAGGTTTCATCTTCTGCTCATGCGAACAATATGTGCCTTTGATATTGACTGCACGCATTCAGGGAGTGGGATGTGAAATTGCCCTCCCCAGTTTCTCCATCTTTGCTCTGTGCAGTCTATCGCTGTGGCGGAGCATCTTCCACAGCCAGCATCTCAGGAAAAAGGAAGCTTGAAGAGTGCTCACAGACTCTGTCCTAGGTGTTCCCTTTGATTGTCATCACCCCGAGAAAACACCTGAGGGATATTTTGCATATATGTCTATCTGGGCATTCCCCCATGCCAAAGATAGGGGAGTTATTAGTGACCAGCAGCAGGAAATGGAAGCTAATGTGCTCACACCCAAAACATTTTATTCTTTTTGTCTTGTCCTTCATCTCCCTCCCAGGGCTGCTGCTTTTATTTCCCCTTTTGAATGACCTACTGGACTGCATTCTCCTGAGGAACAAAGGAAGTGCCTTTTTAGCTGGAATCCTTGGAAGACCACCAAGGACTTCAGCTCATGCAGTGCAATTTCGCACCACTTTCAACAATAACAAAAATGCATGACTGAATGGCTCAAAAATGTGGAGTGTTAGAGGCATTCATTTGAGTCTAGGACACTGTCACAACACAGACAGACCCAAGTAAATACCTTTAGACGGCCAGTATAGAAATAGGCGTAATCTTTACCATCGTCCTGGCCTCTCAAGATGCATACATTAGCCTTGTCTTCTCTGGGCTACACTAAGATAATTTTGGTCATTTTTTAAGGGGGGTAGTCAATATAGTGACTTGTATTCAGCCTAGTTCTGAATGGATTAATTGCCCGGCACTTACCCTGGGATGGGGGATGTGCTTTTTTCAGTGTAAAACACCCAGGATCATTTTCCAGGTGAAGTATCACAAAGTCTGGGTGTCTAGCTCATTGAGCTCCACGCTTAGCCCAAGTTTGATGTTTTATTCCACATGGCCTTGCACTTGCCTTCTAGAGGTTTGAACAGGCTTGAAGAATGCTCCATGTTCTGAAGGAGTCTCAGTCTTTATAGGTTGTAATTAGGATAATCTGATGTGCTCTCAAGGGTGTCAGGGAGTACATCATGCTGACAGGGACTTCCAACTGAGGTTCTGCATTGCCTGTCTGCTTGACCGCTGTACTTTTCAAATAATGCTGAGTCCAGCGAGGCACACACAAATTTAGAATACAACACAGTGTGTAAGTACCATATGAGTGATGCAGATGATGAGAAGGGAGTGCCCAGGCATTTCCAAGGAGAAGGGATTTAGGACTCTAATACTATACAATATTAACTAGCAATGCTGGTTCACTAGGAAAAATGAAAATGCTAGTGATGGTAAGTTTAAAAATCTGACCATTTTTGTTTTGCCCGCCCCCCCCCCATAAAGACAGGGGGTAAAAGGTATACAACAATGGGCATTTTATTACTCACCCATGCTGAAATTGTTTTTAAGAGTGAAGTGGCCGGGCTTGGTGGCTCATACCTGTAATCCCAGCACTTTGGGAGGCTGAGGCAGGCAGATCACGAGGTCGAGAGATCGAGACCATCCTGGCCAACATGGTAAAACCCCGTCTCTGCTAAAAATACAAAAATTAGCTGGGCGTGGCAGCACGCACCTGTAGTCCCAGCTACTCGGGAGGCTGAGGCAGGAGAATCGCTTGAACCCGGGAGGCAGAGGTTGCAGTGAGCTCAGATTGTGCCATTGCACTCCAGCCCGGTGACAGAGTGAGACTCTGTCTCAAAAAAAAGAGTGAGGCAATGGGTTAGAAATGTTCTTGAACTTGCCAAAGGTCCCCTTCACAGTGACATTGAATGATACTCAGAACTTTGTGCCTTAGTTGCAGTTTTGGAGTTTTTATTTCTTGTTCCCTTTTGGGTTCATGAGCAATGCACTTATGATCATGTTCCCAACCCCACACTCTCATATGCATATACACACAGAGGATTCCAGGACTCCTATAGGCTGTTAGGATTATATGGAAAAAGGTGTGCGTGTATGTGTGTTAGAGAGGTAGCAATACTTTCCTTTCTAATAGTGAGTTTGTTATATATGACACACACAGTATGTGTCTTTAAGATTTATATTCCCCCTTCCGCACCTTAAGTAATGTGTTGGATTTTGCAATGAATTTGTGATCTCCTATTTTGTTGGAATCATCAGTTTGGCTCTGTGTTTCACTGGGAGAGGGTCTAATTGAGCCACAGGGCCTATCGCTATAGAAATTGTCCCAAGTATTTTACAAGAGGTATCCTCTGGGCATGTTCAAAAAAGAATTTAGTAGAAGTTCTGGCTTATGCAGCTCAATCTCTGGTTAGAACATATAAATATAAAATGTCTGATTCAGCATAATTACTGTTTTCCTTTTTTATTTGATTCACGTTGGGTTGCATGCAATTTCAGGATTAACTGGAGACTAGACTGAGGAATGAAAAAGGAAGTTTTTTGTTATCTGTACTAGGGAAACAACATTGGTGTTAATCGGAGGCAGTTGGAAGTGAGTCTCTTTGGCTCCCCAGTGACATTAACTGTTTTAGCCCTGTGGTTTTTTCTCATTTATGTTTTAAAAAATGTATTTTGGCCTCATGATAAGAGTTCATAGCTGTTGAATATTGTCTCTGGGCCTGGCCCCATACCAAGGAACTTACATGATTGTCTCATTTAAAACCCACAGCTGCCATATGACATCAGAATTATCACCTCCATTTGACAGACAAGAAAACAGATTCAAAGGGATGACGAAATATGCTCACTGTCTTATAGCTAGTGAATAACAGAGGTGGAATTTGAATCAAGGTCTTATCTATTCTAGAGTATAGTTCGTGCTATGTTGTACAGATAGTAAGACAAGAAAGTACCTTCTCTATTGCCATAGAGTTTGTTGAGATATAAGCTATGGGAGGACCTTCAACTAGTAAGGGACTATCATCAAAACAGCACAGTTTTCACACCATGTTGGAGAGGGTCCAGTCACATCTTTTGTAGACAAAATGTCAAAGCCAGATATAGACAATCTAGTATTAATAGTAGAAAGAGCATAAATTGTATTTCCTGGACAATACAATTGAGGAGCCAATGAGGGTTTCTGAGGGAGGGGAATGTCGTCAGTCAAGCTGTTTTAGGAAGATAACTA